AAAATTAATGTAAACCTACTCAACAAAATACTTGGAAACCTAATCCAGGAACACATCAAAAAGATCATCTATAGCAAATACAGAGATCTGCAAACACTGGGCCAAGCTCCAGGAACACAGCTGAAGAGGAGAAGGGACAATATGAGCAAGGGTGTGGAATAAGATCATGATGGGAAAGCCCACAGAGACAGCTGGCCTGAGTTTCTAGAAGTTCATGGACTCTAGAACAACTGCAAGAGAGCCTGCGTGGGAGAAACTTAGGCCCATGCATGAGGGTGACAGCTGTGTAGGTTGATCCATTTTGGGGGCCCCTAGCAGTGAAACCAAATCCTGCCCCTGGTGCATGAACTGGCATTTTGAACCTGTTACCTATGGTGAGATACCTTGTTCAGACTTGATGCAAAGGGGAAGAGCACATCCTGCCTCAAATTGATTTTCCATGCCTCCTTGACTCCCATGTGAGGCCTTACACTGTTTGAATGGAGATGGAAGAGTAGTGCAGGGGTGGCAGGTAGAAGAGTAGTGTGGGGGAGAGAATGGTAGGAGAGAAAGAGGTGAACTGTGTGAAGAATTCCACCAGAATTTCAAAGAAGAGCTAAAAGCAAGAGTCTTCAAATTGTTCCAAACAATAGAATCACAAAGACAATTACCACACTCCTTTTATGAGTTACAGTTACCCTGACACCCAAACCATGAAACAACAAAGAAATAGAATTACAGTCCAGTCTCCTCCATGAACATTTGTGCAAAAATAATAAAATACTAGTAAAGGTAACCCAAGAACATATCAAAAATTCATCCAGCATGATCAAGTAGGCTTTATCTCAAGGAGGCAGGTATGGTTCAACATAGAAAGATCTGTCAATATAATCTACCATGTAAATAATCTAAAAGAAAAAAAAATCACACAATCATCTCTTTAGATGTTGAAAAAGCCTTTGACAAAATTCAATACCCCTTCATGATAAAGACATTGGTGATATAGGGGTTACAAGGAACAGATCAAAACTTATTGTTTCCTTCCACTTTAGATTTAAAATTATTTTTTATTATGAAAGCTTGGCCTTAGTTTAAGCTTGTTTCCAACTAGCTATAACTTAAATTACCCCATTTCTATTAATCTACATTCTGTCAAATACTGCCCATAAAAAAACTTAACAAAGACAATTTGTAGCAAACCAACAGCCAAAATCAAATTAAATAAAGAGAAACTCAAAGCAATTTTACTGAAATCTGGAGCAAGACAAGGTTTTCGAATCTTTATACATTTATTCAAAACAATACCTAAAGTTCTAGCAAGAGCAATAAGATAATAAAAGGAGATAAATGGGATGCAAATTGGAAAGAAAGAAGTCAAAGTTATGCTATTTGCAGATGAAATGATAGAATACATAAGTGACTCTAAGAAGTGTAACAGCGAATTCTTACAGCTGGTAATTATCTTCAGTAATATAGCAGGATACAAAATTAACTAAAAAATAAAAAATAAAAAACATTAGCCCTCCTGTATACAAATGATAAACAGGTAGAAAAGGATTCAGAGAGCATTGCCCTATCCAATAGCCACAAATAATACGAAATATTGGGGAGCAGCTCTAACAAAACAAGTGAAAACCAAAATGACAAGAACATTAAGCCTTTGAAGAAAAAAAGTTGAAGAAAAGATCAGAAAATGGAAATATCTCCCATGATTTTGTATAGGCAGAATTAAAATAATAAAAATGACAACCTTACCAAAAGCAATCTACAAGTTCAATGCATTCCCCATCAAAATCCCAAAACAATCAAACACAGAACTAAAAAGAATACTCAAATCCACATTGAAAAAATAAAAAACACAAGATGGCTAAAACAAGACTGTATTATAAAGGCACTGTCAGAAACATCCCCATCCCTAACATCAAGCTCTACTATAGAGCCACAGTTTAAAAAAAAAAAGAACCAAAAACAGAAAATTCCTGGACCAATGGAAACAATTTGAAGACCCTGACATTAACGCAAACACCTATGAATACCTGATTTTTGAAAAAGAAGCTAAAACTATACAATGGAAAAAAGAAAGCTCTTTAACAATGGTGCTTACATAACTGTATGTCATCATGTAGAACATTACAAATATGTTCTTGTCTATCACCATGTACAAAACTCAAGTCCAAGTGGATCAAAGACCTCAACATGAATCCAAGTATACTGACCCTAATAGAACAGGAAGTGGAGTTAGCCTTGAATGCATTGGCACAGGAGATCAATTCCTAAATATAACACCAATAGTATAGACACTAAGGGCAACAATCAATAAGTATGACGTCTTAAAATTAAAAATCTTCTATAAGGAAAAGGACACCATAAATAAGACAAAAACAACAGCCTATAAATGGGAAAAGATCTTCACCATCCCCACATCTGACAGAGGGCAGAGCTCTAAAGTGTATAAATAAATCGAGAAACTAGACATCAAAGTACAAAATAATTTAGTTAAAAATGGAGTACAAATCTAAACAGAGAATTCTTAATAGAAAAGACTCAAAAGGCCAAAAGACACTTAAGAAATTGCTCATTAATCATCAGGGAAATGCAAAGCAAAATGACTCTGAGCTACCATCTTGCACCAGAATGGTCATAATGACTAAGATCAAAAACACATCACACTTCTCTCACTTGGGCTGGTTCTATTCCCTGTTAGCAGCTTTCCTCAGCAGGTATCATATGGCTCTGACATCTCCAACATTTTGGGGTCTCTAAGACAATCCAGGTTTGATTTTCACAGCTTCACACAATGGCCTCTCTAGGCCTCCATGTAGTGACACCTGTGCCAGGCCTCAGCAGCTTTCCTCAGTTACAGAGGGAGATTCCATAACCTCTTTCTTCTAACTTTCCTCTAAAGCCAGAACCATGTGACCGAAGCTGCGAAGTTCTGCTGCGTTTTGGGGCTGTGATATGACCCCTCATTCAATGACATCTTCACCAGCTCTCTATATTCTCTGGTTTCTTTCACTGCCAAAGCTCAGCTTTCCTGGAACTAACTGACAGGAAGGAGAAACTCCATTGAGAATATACCATATGAATGAAATGAGTAGTTTTTTTTATTATCAATAAAAGAAAAAACTAAATGGAGTATGCTATTGCACACTTGTAATCCAGAGCTGTAGAGGCAGAGACAGGAAAATACCAGGGATATCATCTTGTCCTATTTGGCAACCCCAGGTCACTGAGAGACACTATCAAAACCAAGGTGAGTAGCTTATGAAGAAAAACAGCAAACGCTGTATTCTGGCCTGAATGTACACATGCACACACATCCTTCATCTGTGCACACACACATGAATACATATGTACATAAAAACAAATTGTACATCATATATAAACAATTTTGTTTTACTAATAGCATGTCAGTATTGATGAAGTACAAATACACAGACACATGTAATTTTCATATAAGACTCTTTAACTGTGGTAAAAAGGGAAAATTTAAATTCACAGGATTTTTGGGAATTCAGAGAAAGTACACTTAGGAAAGAGTATTAAAGCTGCAATAGGACATTTAAATTACTTTTGATGACTGAGAGTAGATTAAATTCCCCTCAAAAGAAAAACATAAAATATCAGCATCAGCAAGCAACTTTCTTTGAGTAACCTCAGCATCAGGGAACATTTATGATATAAAGTAAAGAGGGGAGACTAAAAGAACTCCTGTGGAAATTTCAACTTTTTGTATACAGTGAACTTAAAAAAATCAATAGCACTTGGCAGCAAATAAGTCACAAGAATGTCCATGTGTAAAACCACAAATTTTATTTAAATTATTAACAATCTTGATTTGCTACTTGAACTATTACAGAGCTTAAGAAGAATAAGTTTTTGAAAAAATTAGTTGTGTCTGCACCAGAAAGACCCCCTCATAAACATTTGTTTGTATTTCTAGCTCCCGGGCTCAGGGACAATGGCCTCTTCTGACCCAGTGGGCACCAGGAATTCACACATACATACATGCTAACACAATACTCATAAGTATAAAAAGAATAAGTAATCATTTTATTTAAAATGAGAAAAATTATCTCTTTTTGAAAATATGGTGTCTCAAAGACTGTATGTGTTTCAGCATATTGATTATTCTGTCATCAGAACTGATTTGTACCAAAGGAGTAATTGTGGCATAGGCATTCATTATGAAATTCTGAGTGCTCAGGATCACTGGGTGGTACATCCATAACTGGGCTGCGGTGAATGAGATGATGAAGTCCACCCAATACATGACTACAAAGCAAACGACCAGTAACAAGATGGTCTGGGTGGCTCTTTTCTCAGGGGATGCTCTCAGGTGGCTGAGGTTGTGAAGATACTTGTGTTGCCGCTGATGTCTGTACAAGATGATCACCATGTATGCACTAGTGACCAGCATAAGTCCTACAAGAAATACATCTCTGGACATTGTCACTGTTAAAATCAGTGCCCTGATGATGTAGTTCATGGAGAAGCGTGAGCAGAATTTTGTGACCTTCAACTTTTTGGTTTCACTCATGTTGGTAAAAGCACCAGAATAGATTATTCGGTAACTAATGAATGACAAGTTGAAAGACCAAATAAATAAGAAAACAGAAATCATGTACTTTTTAGTTTATATTTAAATTTTGCCAAGAAAATGGTACTGGGACTGATAGTAACAGCCTGGAGCACACCCAGGAGGCAGGTGATGAAGATGGAGAGACTTCTCATCACTCGGTTTAAGAAAAAATACTTCTTACATTTGAAGTCATTCTCAATATTTAGTGCATCACGTATGTCCCAAAGCCAAATATCCTCTCCAGTGAGGAGCAGCACTATGTGGATGAAGATCAGTTGACATGAGATAATGTCTGTGGGCTTAGGTCTGTGACACAGAATTATGAAAGTATAGAAAACAAGGAGAAACATATTGGCCAGGACTCCAAATACAGCTTGGAAATTAAGGGCAATCCTCAATGAGGACATTGTAGAAATTGTATTCACCTTAAGAACATGACCTAAAAAAAGGATATTTATTCCCTGGCAATGCTGAAGCATGCATGAGCAGCCCATATGTGGTGGTTCTGTTGGCCTTGTCCATATTGGGTTTCATAGTCTAAGTTGATGAGGACGACTGACCAGGTATCTTCCTCAAGAGGGTATCAGATCCCAATCAAGATGATTGTGGAGACCTATTTCAAATATCTGAAAAAAATAATGAGTATTTACCAAACTTTTGTTTCACTGGTCAGTAAGTCTATATCATCATTCTGGTTTGCCTATTTATTCTTGATTAACCAATCTCTTTAATTTTGAAGTTCCACATAAGACTTGGCCTATGTTTCTATATATTCTCAATATATCTCCTGGATATACAGCATTCTCAGCCACATCTGACACAGAATGAACAGTTTATGTGCCTGTATTGCACCTAGACCTCATGGCTTAGAAATTCAATCCTACTGATTTGACTTCCATTGCCTCATTTTATATTTAACACTGAAAAGAGCAGTGATGAGAATAGAGGAGCATAAACATATTTGAATAACTGATTAAAAATTATATTGCTCTGAGGGTAATCACAAAGGAAATCCAAAAGAGTGAGGTGAGTCAGTTTTATATTCCATAATTTTAATAAGATAAAATTTAAACTATCCATATTTTCATTCATAATTCTGATGGATCAGAGTTGGTAATTCATGATAATAACACTATTTTAATCAGTTGGATGTCCATCTCTATTCATTTATTTATTTTCATTTTTTAATGAACTCACCACCCCAGAATCTGGAATTAAAGACATTGATACAGTTGGAGGCCATTAGTGCACTTTTCACACCTTATTAATTTTATAACCATTTCTGTTATAAATGCTCCTAGATATCTCCCAGTTTACTTCCCATCCATTTAAAACTTGTGTGAACTCTACTTATGGTTTAAAGAACTAACACTCAGCTATCAAGACAAATGTTAATTTTTTAATTTTTTTTCTACAGCAGGACAGTGGTGGGGAGTAAATCATTAATAGTATGATTCCTATGGGTTTTTCATCCATTCCTTGTTACTTTACCTACCTATTCCATCTTCTGTATATATAACCTCCTCTTTAACTAAGAAACACCATTTTCTCCTTTTCAGTATCAGATAAATGATATCTTGCTACTCCCCTGTACCTTTGTCCCACCTCCTTCTATATGTGCTTCCCTCCTTCCTGATAAGGAACCCACCCTTTCCCATTTCCCTGATAAGATCGCTTGTAACCTATTCTTCTTCTCTCCATTGCTACCCACGATCAACCCCATTTGGCCATGGTCCCATTTTGCTTTCCTGCTATCTGTAATTTACACAGGCTAAATACTCTCATCTGAAGATGTGGAGCTAGGAGCCCCCTACAAGAGAGAGCATGTGACACTAAGAAAAACACTATTTTCAACACATTGTGGCAAGCATGAAACTAGGCTGACCTCAAAATCACAGAGATCTGCCTGCCTCTGCCTCCCAAGTGCTGGGATTAAAGGCATGTGCCACCACTGCCCAGCATTAGATAAAGATTTTTAAGAGCAAACATAATGTATATACGCAAAATGTATGATTTTGCCAAAATCATACAAAACCTTGCCAAAGGTGACCACATAGTGATCCTGTTGTAGAATCTCTGTTTTAAAAGAGATTCCTTCCCATGCAGTGGAAATAAGGGCCCCAGTGTTATCATAGCTCATCAACACAGAGACAGTTTTAATAATTTCAACAAATAGTCTTAGCTTTTGTGCTTTTGTTACTTATTTAACCTGGTTACTTTTATGATTTTTATCAAAGTAGTATAATTTGTTACTTTAAAATCAACTCTGTAATAGAGAACTAGAAAACTATACCAACTAAAATTCTTGTGAGAAAGAGTGGCCATCTGTATTTTGAAGTTCACTTGTATATTCCACATACATGTTAATGATGTATTTGTAGAAATAACTGAGAAGTCAGTAAATGAGACCATGCAATATCATCCCCATGAATATGTCAACAAAAATCATACATTTTGCATATATACATTATGTTTGCTCTTAAAAATCTTTATCTAATGCTGGGCAGTGGTGGCACATGCCTTTAATCCCAGCAATTGGGAGGCAGAGACAGGCAGATCTCTGTGATTTTGAGGTCAGCCTAGTCTACAAGAGGTATTTCCAGGACAGGCTCTAAAACTACAGTGAAACCCTGTCTTGGAAAACAAACAAACAAACAAACAAAAAATATAACAACAAAAAATGTTTTATTTAGTAAAGGCATAGATTCAGCCTAATTGCCAGAGTCAAACATATGAATCTCCCACTAACTTACAGTTACAGTAGCTGCACAGTGGTGTTCTGTTGTTTTTTTTTTTAATGTTCTTACTCATAGGCTGGAAAGATAGCACAGTGGTTCAGAGCATGTTTTTCTCTTACAAATGACCTGGGCTAGATTCTCACAATGACATAGCGGCTCATAACCTTCCATAACTCTAGTTATAGGAATATATTGCCTTCTTTGATATTTCAAGCAAGTGCTGCACAGAAGTACATGCAGGTAAAACACGTATATGTGGAAAATAAAATAAGTAAATATTAAAGAAAGAAAAAAAGAAAGGAAGAAAAAGAGAATGTGTGTTATCTGATTTATTAAAGATAAAAATTAATTCAAGACTTGGTCTCTAAACTGAAAGAATTGTAGCACATTTTGATTTTAAAATTGCTAATGGACAAACTCTATATGTATAATCATTTTTATTAACTACACCTCTATGATTTATAAATAAGGCAATGTATTATAAATAAAATAAAAGATGATATAAATGTTATAGAGTTTGTCCATTAGCAATTTTAAAATTGAAATGTGCTATAGTTTAGCTACCAAAGACCAAATGATGAGCAGAAGGAGGGAGAACATGAACAAGAAAGTCAGGGCCACGAGGGGTTCGTCAATCCACTGAGACAGTGGGACTGATCTAATGGGAGCTCACCAAGGCCAGCTGGACTGGGAGCGATGGAGCATTTGATCAAACTGGACACTCTGAATGTGGCTGGCAATGAAGGCTGACTGAGAAGCCAAGGGCAATGGCACTGGGTTTTGATTCTACTGCATGGACTGGCTATGTGGGAGCCTAGTCTGTTTGGATGCTCACCTTTATAGACCTGAATGGAGTGGGGAGGACCTTGGACTCCCCACGGGGCAGGGAATCCTGACTGCTCTTAGGACTAGAGATGGAGGGGGAAGTGGGGAGGGGGAGGAAATAGGGAGGTGGGGAGGAGGTGGAAATTTTTAATAAATAAAAAAATTTAAAAAAAATATTACGGATGCTGTCACTATTGAAGGGCTCCAGACGAAAATACTGGGCAGGCAGCTATCGAAGAAACATGCAACAACAACAACAAAATGAGCTGTTTCCTCATAACTCTACATTCTTCTGAGAAAAATCACTTTCCCCTTCATTATCACAGTATTTGATTTTAGAGCAGTCTTGTTTTATGAATTTATGGTAGTCTTTGCATTCTTCTCTGAGGAGATAATAATATAATGAACATACAAACATATTACATCAAAAAGTATCATGTTCATTTTAAGTTTTACCATATTTAGTGAGCAATGACTTAAAAGCAGTGTGGCTGCTCAGATAGAATATGGAGTGATTGTGTGACTTTCAGGTGACAAGATACATGGTGTTGACTGATGCACTGTTTACTGTCAGCAACATTAATAAGTCTTCAGGAATCTCAGAAAGATGAGGACCTTAGACACTCAGGTCCATGAAGAGACATTTATAAATTAGATATCCAGTAGGAATAAAGAGTGATTACTTATTTAGGGTATTAATTCATAGCACTTGCCTAATACTCTTAAATAATTTTATAGTATAATTTACTCTTTAAAAATTGAATTTAACTCACCTGTCACTGAAAGCACACAGACATTCACTAGAACTTTACAGTCTCACACTTTCGAGCCAGTTCCCCTGCGATGAAGCAGCAGCAGCAGTGTCACTGCAGAGCCTTTGAGGTAGCAGTCAGACCCAGAGCTCAATCACATGTCACATGGTGTAAGTCTGGGAAAGATGTGAAAATGTTCACTGGAAGTGTGTGTGTGTGCCTCTGTGTGTGTGTGTGTGTGTGTGTGTGTGTGTGTGTGTGTGTGTGTGT